ACACTCTGAGACATTTCAAGGATCTTATTTTAGACATGACAGGCAGAAAACAAGTCTAAATGCTCATTTATTGAGTGGTTTAGGATGTGAAAATGACTCTAATTTCAGGTTGAATAGTTTAGATGTTAGATATCTGTATCTTATTATAGTAGCTTAGATGTATTCTAGTATTAGCCTATGAGATAAAAATTTAATAAAGATTTAATTTACTGACCACCTGCCACAATTATAGAAATCTGCCATAAAAAGAATAGGAGGGACATAGCTATAGTAGGGGAAAAATGCTTCCCCAACTTAATATCAGTTCCACGTAAGAGTCATATAGACAGCCAGGTCGAGAGCGAAGATGAATCATAACCTGTGAGTAGTCTGAGCTGCCCAAATGGGGACAGAATGTCACAGCTAGGCTTAGAAGATTAGCCAGAGGGAAAAATGTGTTGTATGGGAGACTGAGTCAAGAGGGGAGGGTGACCACAAAGAATTTCATAATGAAGAATTTCATTAGGGGAAAATTTCATAATAAGGAGAAAATTTTATAATGAGAAATATTACATCCCCCCTTGGTCTGCTACATAAGTAGAACAAAGCCAAAGGGAGAACCTTAGGCCACTTCAAATAGGTTTCAACGCATAACTTACCAACTGTAGTCTTAAGTTCCTTATTCATATGTTCAACTAGGCCAGAACTTTGAGGATGGTATGGAGTGTGGAAGTCGGGAGTAATACAAGATTAGAATATACTCACTGAGAGAGAATGAATCAGTGAAATGAGACCCTCTCTCAGAATCTATGTGGGCAGGTGGGCCATACCTGGGCACAATTTCCTCAGTGAGAACATTGGCAACAAAAGCATCTGTGGCTTTAGAACTAGGAGGTGCTTCAACCTTGGTCAATGATGACAAGAGAATGCATATAATGACGTGCCTGGGGCATATTGGTAAAATCTATCTGCAAGTGTTTGAAAGGGCTCCTTTCATGTGGCAAAGCACCTGGTGCTGATTCTGTTCCAGCTGAGATTTGCAAGATGGGGGCGTCCACTGCTCATACAAAAGAGGACTGAAATTTTCCAGGTTACATGGCAAGAGGAGGTTATCCCCCAGGAGTTCCAAGGATGCCTCCATTGTCCATCTCTATAAAGGCAAAGGAAATACATTGCCCTGTGATTCACCGTGGGGATTCTCTCTTAGTCACTGCGGGCAAGATTCTTGCCAGAGCCCTCCTTAATAGGATGATCCTTCGCCTGGAAGATGGTCATCTACCTGAGGGCCAGGTATACGGGCCGCACGCTGACCCTCTGCCAGTCGTGCACCAGTACCCACTTCTCTTAAAAGAAGTGCACCGCCAGAGTCTTACCCATTCCCGGGTCTTCGGTCCTCAGCCGGATCACCACACAGAGACAAGCCATGGGAAGGCACCAACACCAGAGTTTTATTCAGAGGCCAACACAGCAAACCATCATAGCAAGCCCAAGCAGCAAGGCCAGAGCAACAGGCAGGAGCCAGGGGAGAGCGCACGTGTGTTCTGACCACGCTTGTTCCTAAGTACCTACTTAGCCCCTCCTCCCCAGCCCGCTTACTAGCCAATGATTGTAGGGTCAGATACCGGAAGGGGCTGTCTGAGTTTAGCACACCAAGGGGGAGGGAGTGACGTAGGAGGCCAGGATTGGATACAGGAAGGAGGCATCTGGGATTGACGCATAGACAAGAGTACATGACCTAGGAAGTCAGACTCAGGAGGGGACTGGGTCAGTGCTGCACAAGGTCAGGAAGGTCACAAGAGGCATCTGGGGATGACGTTGCATATAGGGAGGGGACTAAGCAGAGGGAACTCAGTCCTCTGCCATCCCACTCCCACGTGGCACCGCCCCTTGCCTCAGGAGTTCAGGCTCGGCTACTTCCTTGCACCCAGCTTATGTCACAGAGCACTGCCCAATTGCCTCATGGCTTCTCCGTATCCAGCCCATCCCAGTACACACGACTCTGCCTACCACAGTCCCTGCCTCGACTTCCAAAATACCCAGATCTTACCTTACCCATGCCACAGCACCCAACTGGCAGCTGCCAGCATCAGACAGTCCCTCACAGCCAGGGTGGCTTTAGAAAGGGCCAAGGAACAGTCAATATGGTGTTTGCTGCCCGACAACTCCAGGAGAAATGCCAGGAGCACAACAGAGGTCTGTACACAACATCTGTAGATCTGACCAAGGCCTTTGATACTGTCAGTCATGAGGGCTTATGGAAAATTATGTCAAAATGTGGTTGCCTGGAGAAGTTCATCAGCATTGTACGTCAATTCCATGATGGTGTGCTTGCCAGGTCCTGGATAATGGACAATGCCCTTGTGCTTTCCCAGTCACCAGTGGAGTGAAACAAGGCCGTGTGCTTGCTCCCATGCTTTTTAGTTATGTTTTCAGCCATGTTGTCAAATGCCTTCAGTCAAGACAGCTACCACATTGATAATAAATTCTTCAGCTTGAAAAGGCTACAAGCCAAGACCAAAGTGGAGGGAGTGTTGGTGCATGGTTTTCTGTTTGCAGATGATTGTGCACTCAATGAAGCCTCTGAGGCTGAGATGCAGCATAGTATGGACCGATTCTCTGCTGCTTGTGCTAATTTTGGCCTAACAATCAACACCAAGAAAACACAGACGCTCCATCAGCCCACACCACACCATCTGTATGTAGAACCATTGGTTACAGCAAATGGAGAAGTTTGGAATGCTGTGGATGAGTTCACTTACCTTGGCAGTATACTCTCCAGGGATGTACACATTGATAATGAGGTTGATGCCCGCATTGCCAGAGCTGGCTCAGTGTTTGGGAGGCTCCGAAGGAAAGTGTGGGAGAGAAAAGGTATTAGACTGACTACCCAACTGAAGGTCTCCAGAGTCTCACTGTTGTGTGCCTGTGAAACCTGGCCAGTCTACCAGCGCCATGCCAGGAAACTGAATCACTTCCATTTGAATTGTCTTAGGAGGATTCTGAAGATCACCTGGCAGGATCAGATACCAGACACCGAGGTCCTTTCCCAAGATAACCTGCCAGGCATTCACACTCTACTGCAGAGAGCGCCACTCTGATTGACTGTCCACGTTATTCACATGCCAAACGTACACTTGCCTAAAAGACTATAAAATAGTCACACAGGGCGAGAGTTCACATGGTGGTCAAAAGAAGTGATAAGAGGATACTTTCAAGGTCTCTCTTAAGAACTTTGGGATTGATTGTGTGACGTGGGAAACACTGGCACAGGACCACCCGGCATGGTGCGCCCTCATCACAGAAGGTGCTGTGCTCTATGAGCAAAGCAGAATTGAAGGAGCTTGAAATGTGAGATGAGCAAATTTAAAGAATCTATCCCAGATGTTCACATGGACTGTTTGTGCCCCATCTCTGGTAGAGTATTCCGAGCTTGTATTGGTCTGATTAGCGACAGTTGGAGGCACTGTAATTTGACTCTAACATAGTGATATCAATTTGGTCCTCTTTGAGAATGAAGAATAACAAAAGTTTGAACACCTCAGCCAATCGGCGGAGCCCACAGTAGCCCAGAACTGTTAGGCTCAAGTGAGCCATCAGCCTCAGCCTCCCCAGCAGCAGAAGAGGACAGCTGTGTGCCACCGTGGCCAGCCCTGGCTCTTCTCTGACAACAACTTGTAATACAAGTGCAGCTGGAACTCATCCTAACTTGGGGAGGACAGGAGATGATAGAAGAGGACATGAGGGAAAGGGATTGAAGAGAGATGGAGGAGAGAGGATCAATAAACAATTCAGGGGGCAGCTAGGTGGCGCAGTGGATAAAGCACCAGCCCTGGAGTCAGAAGGACCTGAGTTCAAATTCTGGCCTCAGACACATAACACTCACTAGCTGTGTGACTCTGGGCAAGTCACTTAACCCCAATTGCCTCACCAAAAAACAAAACAAAACAAAATAAAAAACAATGCAGAGAGGGTATCTGATCCAACAGAGGATAGGGAGCACATTTCTTTCATCTCTTGCCTTTCATATTGAATAGTGGATACTTTTCTTTTTCTAGGCCTATACTGGGTCTAGTTTATGGGACCATGAAATTCTTAGGAGGAAGCGAAGGCTTAGTTAGGGTTGTTTGTTTTTTAGCAGGAATGGCAGCATTTATGTTTGAGATTTTTCTCTTTTGCATCCCCACGCAAGTGCCTGGTACATAGTAGGTGCTTAAATACTTTATGATAGTGTGTGATCTCTGAAGAAAGGTACAAGAGTCACAGTTCCGCAGAGTCTCTGTCCTGTGCCAACCTAACACCTAGCAGAGAGCCTGGAACACAGCAGGTGCTTAATAAATGCTTGTTGACTCATTTACATCACCTTCATTTCTGAATATACTCCACACCTACAACCCCCTCAACGGGGAGAAGGTCCTTGAATTAAAGGGGATCAGGAAAGGCTTCCTGGAGAAGGTGGGGCTGGAGCCCAGGCTGAAGGAAGCCAGGAGGTGGAGATGAGGAGGGAAGGTATTCTGAGCAGGAGGGACTTTGTCCCTATTAGCAGAGAAGTGACTGACCCTGACATGGCTACGGGGCCGTGGACATGTACCCCGCGGGGGAATCCCGGGGGACTGCTCGGAGGAGGCAGGGGAAGAAGGAAGACCAGGCATTCCGGGTAGGGAGGTCAGAGGCCCTAGTGAACAGATGGAAACATCCGCGGGAGCACGCGGGGTGGAGTGGGGGGGGGGGGGGGGGGGGGCGCCGCGTACGTCTCCAGGCTCCCCTGAAGTAATGGGATTGACTTGAGGTCGTCCACACCTCCTTGTTACTGGAGAACTGGGATGGGGCTCTCCAGAGCATGCGTAAAGCCGCCACTAGCCTCCGAACTACGTCTCCCAGCAGGCCTTGCCCAGAGCGGGAGGAAGGCGGGACCTCACGCGCGCGTGACTTCCTGCCTAGTCCCTCCACGCACCGGAAGCCAGACGCTTTTGTCCTCGCGCCACCGTGGGCGCCTCGGCCCGCTCAGACCGCGGCGTGGCTCGGGCCGCGGGGCCTGGCTGGAGAGACCTCAGCCAGAGGGCGGACCGCGAGGTAGGACCGGCCGAGCGGCGGGCTGCGGGGAGGGGGCGGGGCGGGGCGGCGGGCGCCATGCTTCTCAGCCTGCGGAGGGGGAGCCACGCAGCCCCCGTCCTTCGCCCCGCCCCCTCGTCGCCACGCCCTCTCCCAGCGCTGCCGCGCCATTGGACAGGGCTGGGGCGGGGTGGAGCCATGAGCCAATCAGGCACCGCCGCTGTCACCCTGCCTCAGCTTTCCTTGTCTCCTAAGGGCGTGTCTCCCTTACCTGGCACCCACAGGGCAACCAGCAACTATGAAATGCCTACGGTATACCAGGCCCTGAAGCTGAAGAGACAAACGTAAAAGGCACCCCCTCCTGGGATCACAGTGACCACGTGCCACAGGCAGGGCTTGAATCCAGGGCGTCCTGAGTGCAGGCCGCCTCTCCTGTTCATTTTCACAAGCATTTATTAAGTGCCTACTGTGTACTAGGCTCTGGGGACACAAACAAACTGTCCTGTGCCACGGGTGGAGAGATCAGGGGAGGGGAGCGTACATCCTCTGGTGGTGGTGGACAGAAATGTTAATAGAAAGTGACGGGGTTGGCATCCATAGCAACCTGGAGCATCAGGACGGGTGGACCCGGCCTGTGCCCTGCGTGACGGAGCGATTCCTCATTTCATCTCCCACCTCCGTGCCTTTGCACACGCTTTGCCCCCGAGCTCAGCCGTGCTGGTCTGCCAATGGTTGGCCTTCTGGGACCCCCTCAGGTGCCCCAGTCTTGACTTACCTGCGAGTGCTCGGTTCTGTTCTGAGGGCGGCGTTGGCAGCAGGGGCCCGCACCTGGTGGCGGCTTAGTTCACGTCTGCTGGCTGGCATCAATCCCGCGGGCAGTCCAGAGCCCGGGTTGCCCTGCCCGCCAGCAGGCAGGTGGGGGGATGTCTCGGCCTCACAGGCCACGTCACTCCCTCCCCTCGTTCCCTTTCTTCCCCAGCTTGACCGCCTGAGGACCCCGCGGGGATGGGAGCGTCGAAGAGGCAGGAATCGGCCCCTGTGCTGCTGATGGCCGGGGCCCCCCAGGTAAGCGGCCTTTCCTCTTCTGAGCAACGCCGTTCTGGAGCTATCCTCAGTGTAGACACGCGGCTTTGTCACGGTCCATAACCCCCAAACTGGGGCGAACCTCCTCCCAGAAGCACATTCAGAGGCCACTGAGACCAGGGGTTCTTCCCCCTTTCCGTGTCTTAGACTCCTTTGGCATTCTGGGGAAACCCACAGACCTCTTCTCAGAGTCGAGAAGGAATCCTTGTCGTGTTGGAGCTGCGTTTCATCCTGAAATAAAAAGGAGTCCTTTGTGATCCTCGATTTTATTTTATGTTGAAATGCAGCTATCAAAATATTTTAAAAAACAAGGTCATGGAACTCGGAGTAAGAGCTCAATTTACAGGGGAGAGAAATTAAATGCCTGTTAATTAAAAAAAAGTTGAAATGTCGGTTATGTAGAAGTAATACTTGATTATTAATGGAGAATGATTATTGTGTCCTCTCTAATTAGAAATTAATATTTGGAATATGTGGGAGCCCAATTTAGGGATCTCCTGATTTGCAAGTCTAGGGATATTTTCCTCACCATGTTTCTGAAAAATGGGTGGCCCAGTGGATAATGCACTAAGCTTGGAATAAGGAAGATTCGTCTTCCTGAGTTCAAATCCAACCTCAGACACTGACGAGCTGGGTGACCCTGGTCAAGTCACTTCACCCTGTTTGCCTCAGTTTCCTCATCTGTAAAATGAGCTGGAGAAGGAAATGGCAGACCACTCCAAGAAAACCCCAGATGGAGTCATGGAGAGTCAGACATGACTGAAATGACCAAACGACAACAAAATTTCTCAGAAAAAGGGAGGAGCTGGCTGGCATTAGTGAAATGCCGTTTGTGTCTGCGAGCACTTTATCTCCGCTCTCTTGCCTGGTTCTTACCCTGGGGCGCACGTACCACCTGTATTTTACTGATTTTGCAGGTGAGGAAACTGAGCTTTGAAAAGGTGAAGGGACTGGTACGGGCTCCATAACTGGGAAAGAACAGCAGGGGAGGGACAAGAATTTGTTCAGGGCCTGCCCAGGGCCACCCCGTGTGCTCCGTGCAGGGAGGGGGTACAAAGACAGAAGGGGAAATGTCCCTCCCTCGAGTAGCACGCAGTATGTACGTAGAGCCATGTGTGCAGGATAAGCACGAGGTGCCTTTTGGGAGCATGGCACTAACATTTTCTGGGATCAGAAAGGCTTTATGTGGAAGCTCTGAAGTGGCCAGAGAGGTGGCGATGGCGTGGGAGGGCATTCCAGGCATGGGGCACAGCCGGGGTAAAGGCATGGAGGCCGGGTTGACTGGACTTTAGAGGGCAGGAAGGGCCATTATGGGGAAGAAGTCTGGAAAAGCAGTTTGGGGCCAAGTCATGATGAGGTTAAAAAGCTGAACAGAAGAGCTGATGTTTGCTCCTGGAGGCATTAGGAGCGCCTTTGGAACCCCGCTCCTTCTGCCTCCACTGCTTAGCAACATGCTGCCTGGGGAAGAAGTGGGACTGCCCCCACAGTAGGTCTTCACGTGGAGGCTGGGGGGCGACTGGTGGGAGAAGAGGCGTTTGGACAGGTCCAGGTTGGGCTCCAGTTTGTCTCTAAAACTGTGATGGTCAGTTGTCGCACTGTTGGTCTTTGCAGGGTTGTGAGGAATGTCGAGTTTAGTCAACAAGCATTCATTAAGCACCTGCTGTTTTCCAGGCACAGGGGGTAGTACAAAGAAAGGCAGAAGACGGTCCCTCCCTTCAGGAGCTCCCAGTCTGATGAAGCAGATGATGAGTAAATAACCAAGTGCAGACAAGCGATAGCAGAGTGAATCGTAAACCCGCACTCTCCGTGCACCGTGGCACACACAGTGAGGCACGCAGTAGGCTCTCTGTACATTTTTCTGTACTTGGAGCACACTGAGGGCTGAACACCACGAGCGCCGTCACTCCCTACGCTTCCTGGCAGCTCCTCCTCTTCTCCCCATCCTAGGGGCCTTGGGAACCCACCGACATGTTTGGTGTTTCAGGAATCCGTGACGTTCGGGGACGTGGCCGTGGACTTCACCTGGGAGGAGTGGGGGCGCCTGGGCTCCTCTCAGAAGAAGCTGTACCGGGAGGTGATGCTGGAGAACTACAGGAACCTGGCCTGCCTGGGTGAGGACGGCTGTTCCACCCCCCACCCCCACCCCATCGCCTCCCTCAGGGTCTTTCCTTCTCTCCTTTGTAATCCTTCTGGGATACCTGGAGTGCTTAGTGGTTGTGGTGTGGCCTGAAGGCAGCAGAGGTCTCTAGTCCCATTGCGGCCAAAGGACTGGGCACTTTCCCCTGGTCCCAGAGATTCTCCCCCAAAGCCCGTCCCTGTGAGACGTCTGAAGCCTTGCCGGGTCCCCAACCTCTTCGCAGGGCCGGGTCTGGGGAGCTCCTTTCTTTTCTGAGTTCAGATTGACGCCGGGACCCTTTCCCCAAACTTTCTAGGAATCGGCCTTCGGATGTCCTTCATTCAGTTAGTTGTCTGGCCTTCCTGATGTGTCCACCTTTCCCCGAGGAAAGGGGGGATTAGCCTCAAATTCTGATCCGTGTGTTTTTCCATTTCCAATGTGCAGGCCTTGCCTTTTCCAAGCCACACCTGATCTCCCAGCTGGAGCGAGGAGAAGCAGCCTGGACGCCGGCGGAAGAGAGCCAAAGAGTGGTGTGTGCAGGTGAGCATGTGATTGCGAGCAGCGTCGCAGCCGGCCTTGGGGGCTGCCCCCTTCCATGTTGGCTCCCCGGGCCCCCCAGCATCTGTGCAGGGGAGCTCGGTCGCCTGCGCTCCCCCTGTGCCAATTGCTCTCCTGAGTTTTCTCCCTCGTGGGGCTGTCCCTCCAGCCTCGGGAAAAAGAGCTGAGAAGGATGGGTCTCACGCCCAGCACAGCGCAGCGGGGGCGGTGCTGGCGTCAGTCGGGTCCCTGGGGTTGGAATCTTGGCTCTGCCGCTTGATACCTGGGCGACCTCGGGCAAGTCACTTCTCTGGGCCTCAGTTTCCTCATCTGTAAAATGAGGGTTGGACTCTCCGGCCTTTGAGCTCCGTTCCACAGGCCTGTCCGTGATGCCGGGACTCTCCCTTGCCCATTCTCTCATTTCAGAAATGGGAACGATGGAGTAAACTTTTCCTGCGTGGATGTTTGATGAACTAACCTCTCAGTCACTCTTAGTCAGGACTCTTTGAGTTTTCCTGTTACATGCTCCAGCTCGGTGCATGCCCTGCTCTGGTTGGTGTTATTTTGGAAATCCCTTTTCAGATTTCTTTCTGTTCCTCATAATTAACCATCTCAGTTGCATTCTGGTATTCACAGTTGATTTGATCATTCTATTGCTGTACCCTTAGGTTGCTTCTAATTTTTTAAAATCAGAAATAATCCTGGTCTTTCATAAATCTCTGAGTACGTAGCAATCAACTAACAAGCCTTTTTTAAATACCTATCATATGTTAGTCACTCTACTAGGCACAAGGGATACAGTGATCCCTGGTAATAAAGGATAAGGGCAGCTAGGTGGCAAAGTAGATAGAGGCTAGGCCTGGAGTCAGGAAAACTCATCTTCCTGGGTTCAAATCTGGCCTTAGACACTTATTAGCTGTGTGACCCTGGGCAAGTCACTTAGCCTTGTTTGCCTCAGTTTCTTCATCTGTAAAATGAGCTGCAGAAGGAAATGACAAACTGCTCCAGAATCTTTGCCGAGAAAACTCCAGATGGAAATGACTGAAAAATGACTTAACAACAACAGAGTTGCGTAGACTGAGAGGGGAGACAATGCATATACATATGAATATATGCAAAATAGTTACCAGTTAACTGGGGATGGAGGAAGCATTGGCAGCCAGGCAGGATGGGGACCAGGGAAGGCTTCGTACGGGCTTTCTGGCGGTATTCGATTGGAGCTTCTAAGGAGACTAGGGATTGTCACAGGCCGAGGTGAGGTGGGAGAACAGCGGAGACACTGTAGAGGCAGGACAGCAATTGTTTGGAATGACAGCAGGGAAGCCAGCGGGCCTCTTCAGGCTAACATCCAGTGCGCCTTTCTGCTGTTATGGAGGGGCGCGGTGGCCCGATTAAGTCAGCTGCGAGGTCAGCCACGATGCAATCAGTGGATACACGGACTGGGGCCAGCGTGGTGCCATTACAAGTGCACTGCTATGGATTTGTTTTATAGAGAGACCTCTTTGTTCCTTGAGCATCATCTCTGGGATCCAGGCCCGGCATGGGAATCCCTGGGCCAAAGGGCACGAAGCTTGTCGGGCCTCGAGACTGGACAGAAAGATGGTGTCCATTTGTCACTTCCCCAGCAGTGCAGCAACCCTCTGTCTCCACAGAGCTCAGCCAACATGTTTTATCCTTTCTTCTCCATCTTTGCTGGCTTAATGGGCATGAGGAGGTCTCGTTTTCATTGATGTTTCTGATGACTAGAGCATTGGAACAGCTTTTCAGGTGATAATTGACAGTTTGTGCTTCTGAGAGATACCTGTACACGTTCTTTGGTGATTTGTCGTGTTGTATTTAGAACTTAAGGTTCCACCAATTTCTCATAGATTGTTAATGTCTCGTTTGTAGCAGCAGTGTTTATGGCAAGTGGCGTTTCCCCAGAAACTACCTGTCATCCTGGGTGTGTTGTCCTGTCACAATTCTTTAATTTTATATAATCAAATCCATTTCTTTCAGTTCTTATGTTTTTTAACTTCCCCAGTTTGTGTGTTTATGTATGTGCATATGTGTATATATGTATGTGTGTGCATATATATGTTACTTTTTTTTATGTTTTTCCCATCGTGGGAGATGTGAGTCCAATTCCATTTATTGTCTCACTGCTATCCAGTTTTCCTAGCAAATTTTATTCAGTAAGGCTTACCTCGCCTAGTGTTTTGTGATCTTTGATTCATCAGTAATTCATCTATTCTATTAATTATATTCATCTATTCTATGCCTTTCATTCTCACCCTGGGTTATTTATTCTGTTTTGTTGATGTATTTTTCTAGCTTTCATCTCTCACCAGATGCTTTTTGACTAAATACTACTTTGTAAGAAGAATTGCTAAGTTTCAACAACCATATGTGAGACTGCACCGAATCACTAATAATAGGAAAAATGCACCTCGAAGCAGCTCTGAGGTTTTACTTCACAACTAGAAAATTGTTAAAAAAAAAATGGGAACAGTCAGTGTTGGAGGGACTTCAGAAAGACAGGCACACTAATTCACCATGGTTGGAGGTGTGAATTGGTCTCACCTTTCTGGAAAGCAAGTTGGAACTGTGCTAAAAAGTGACTAGAATGTCCATTCTATTTGACTCAGAGATCTCACTACTGAGCACCTACGTCCCTGGTCAAAGACAAAGAAAGTTTCCATATACACTAATGTTTTTAAGCAGCACTTTTTTGGGATAGCAAAAAACTGGAAACAGTCGCTTCTTATCAATCTGTAAAAGGCTATACAAGTTATAGAACTTGAAAGTACCAGACTGTTACTACACTATTAGACAATGACAATGAAGAATTCAGAGAAACACGGGAAAATGCATGAACTGATGCAGTGTGAAGGGAGCAGATGGAGGAAAACACTCTACCGCTGACATCACAGTGCTTACTACTTGAATGTTGCTGACAGGCATCTTTCTAGTTGGACAAAACGAGATGGGATCAAGTGTGATGGAGGGGGGACCAGAGTGATTTATATTTTTCTTTTTCTTTTCTCAGATTGGAAGAGTAAACCCTCAAACAAGAAGTCAGATCCCAACATAGGAATTTCTGTGGAAGCATCACCCCAGGAAAAACTCATAAGTAATGTGTTCAATTTGAGAGAAACCTTGGGATATAGTACCAGACGAGAGACGCAGCAGAAGAGAAGGGAGAAACCTTATGAATGTGGCAAGACCCTCAGTTGGAGGACACAGCGTATTCAATGTCAGAGAACTTATGTTGAAAAGAAACTTTATGAATGTAATGACTGTGGGAAGACCTTCTGCCAGCGCAGTGATTTCATTCGACACCAGAGAATTCATACTGGAGAGAAACCTTATGAATGTAACGAATGTGGTAAGGCCTTCCATAGGAAGACAGGCCTTACTGAACATCAGAAAACTCATACTGGAGAGAAACCTTATAAATGTAATGAATGTGGGAAGGCCTTCTACAGGAGCACACACCTTACTCGGCATCAGAGAATTCATGCTGGATTGAAGCCTTTTGAATGTAAGGAATGTGGGAAGGCTTTCCATTGGAGGACAGGCCTTAGTGAACATCAGAAAATTCATACTGGAGAGAAACCTTATGCGTGTAAAGAATGTGGAAAAGCATTCTGCCAAAGCACACACCTTACTCGACATCAGAGAATTCATACTGGAGAAAAACCTTATGAATGTAAGGAATGTGGGAAGGCATTCTGCCAGAACACACAACTTACTCAACATCAAAGAATTCATACTGGAGAGAAACCTTATATATGCCATGAATGTGGGAAGACCTTCCATTGGAACATACAGCTGACTCAACATCTGAGAATTCATTCGGGAGAAAAACCTTACAAATGTAATGAGTGTGGGAAAGCCTTCTGCCAAAGCAGAGAATTCATTCGACACCAGAGAGTTCACACCGGAGAGAAACCTTTTGAATGTAATGAATGTGGGAAGGCTTTCCGCCAGAGCACACACCTGACTGAACACCAGAGAATTCATTCTGGAGAGAAACCTTATGAATGTCGTGAGTGTGGGAAAGCCTTTCATTGGCGGATAGGACTTACTCAGCATCAGAGAGTTCATACTGGAGAGAAACCTTATAAATGTAACAAATGTGGGAAGACCTTCCGTTGGAGCACACAACTTACTAAACACCAGACAGCTCATATTTGAGAGGACTTTGTGGATTTCATTAACGTGGAAAGCTCTTCTGCCAAAGTACACACCTTACTAGACGTGAGGAAATTTGTATCAGAGAGAAACAACTTTTTTAGAATCACAAGTGGAAGGGACCTCAGTAACCATCTAGGCTAGTCCAGATGTGTAAAAGGACGAGTTATTCCTCTGTACCATTCCCAACAAGCAGTCATCCAGCTTGATAGAAGAATTCTAATGTGGGGGTACCCACAAACTCCCAAATTACTTTTCTCTTTGGATCTAATTGTTAGGAAGTTTTCCCCCAATATCCCATCTAAATTTGCCTCCCCCCACCAAATTCCAGCAATTCCTCTTCAGCTCTTCTGGGACCAAGAAAAACAAGGCTAATTTTCAGTCTCTATGTCAGCCCTTCAAATGCTTGATGATAGTTTGCATGTCCTCCCTAGAAATATTGTCTTCTCTAGGCTAAAAATCCCCAGTCCTTTAAACTAGTCATTATATAGCATGAACACAAAGCACTTCACTATCCTGGTTGCCCTCTTGCAAACACTGTAGGTTATCCTTCCTAAACTGCAGTACTAGCAGTGAACACAATTGTCTGAGTGAGTGAGGTTTGACCACAGAGCAGTTCAGAAGAGGTCTGGCCTTCTTACCTTCAAGTCAATGCTTGTCTTAATGTAGTCCAAGGTCAGACGGGTTTTTAGGAGGCAACACTACATTGTTGACTCATAGTGAGATTGCTGTCCACTAAAACACCCAGATCCTTTTCAGACAAACTTCTAGCTCACAATCTCCCCTCCATGTTGTACTAAAGAAGCTGACATTTTGAATCCAAGTATAAGATAAATATTTACAACTGAACTTCATTTGGAGAGGTTAGCTATCATTCCCAGCTTTGTATCTACCTATGAGTACATTTGTTTTTTCTGATAGAATAGAAGCTCTTTGAGAGCAGGAATTGTTTTGTTTTTGTCTTTATACCCTTAGCACCTAGCATTGTATAGTATTTTTATAATACTATATATATATATTATATATGTAAATGCTTTTGGATTATGTCATTTGTAAATTTGATAAGCAAATGATCTATACTTTTATACAAGTCATTGATAAAAAAAATGCCGAACTGCAAAGGGCCAAGCACCTATTTCTGGTATATTCTACTGGGAACCGCTTGCCATACTGACATTGAGCCATTGATAAATGTGGCTATCCAACCAGTTTCAAATACATATAATTGTACTGTCCTCTAATCCACATCGATCTATCTTTTCCACAAGAAGACTGTGACATATTATGTTAAATGATTTGCTAAAGTGTAGTTAAACAGCAGATGTGGGACACTGCCAAGCAAATTTTATACATCAACAGAAGTTCTATCAGAGTTGTTGTGTTTTGCTTAATTATTTTTCTCATAAAAGAACATTCATTCTTTTTGGGGTGAGTGGGAAATGAATGATGGGAAAACAAAGGGCATCATTTGAACATTTTTTTTTAATTATTGAAACGTAGGTAAACTATCCTTATAGCATTCCCTTAATGTAGTTTTAACACCACCAAATGAAGGAATGAGTTTTATATAATCAATTCCTGATGAAGACACGCTGGCCCTTTGTAATTTCTGCTTCCTTTTGTAAATATTCATTAACCATTGATTTTCTGTTTTAGGATTTTTTCCATGAGACTGAAATCAGGTTCACTAGCCTGCTGTTTACAAGCTCGCTCGCTCTCTCTCTCTCTCTCCCCCTCCCTCTCCCCCTCTCTCTCTCTCTCCCTCTCTCCCCTCCCCCACCTTCCCCCTCTTCCCTGTGGGGCTTTCAGTCCCTAGGTGTCCTTGACTCTAGTCAAGGGAAGCATTGATTGAGCCCTTGCTTTGTGCTAGGCACTGTGACAAGTGCCAGGAATACAAACATAAGAAGAAAGATAGTCCCTGCCCTCCAGGAGCTTGCTTTCTAGTTGAGAAGAGAACAAATAAAGCTGGAAGAAGGCATGGTGGAGGAGGAGGACTGGAGACCTCTTCATGAGCAGAGTGGACATGGCCGCCCGGGGGCCCCCAGAGTAACGGTCTGCAGGCAGAGGGACCTTCCAGGGTGGGAAGGCTCCTGGGATTGGTGTTTCCCTGCCCCTCTTCCCTTTCTCTCATCCAGACCAGAACTTTCTTTCCGTTTAAGCCTCTCTTTACTATTCCCCACTCCAAGTTTAGGTTTGTTTTGCTTACAGCTCATCCCTCCCTAAAGCTAAGCTTCCTCTTATTCCTTGTTTCCCTGTTGGTTTCTCTGTTGATTCGAATGTTATTTCTACCCCCACACTTGGTATGTACATGTATATGTTGTTGTTCACCCTCCTTTTCAAAGAGGACCAATGACATCACAATGCTGGGGTAAACAGTGGAGGACAGGTGATGGCTTGCTTTGTGAATGAATTGGATCTAAGTGAGGCAGAGTTGTGCAGTCATGAGCCTCAGTCTTCCAGAGTCATCTAAGTCCGGCATCGTATATGTGTGTGTTCAACCCTCCTTCGGCCCATTCAGATGAAAATGGGATTCCAGCGATATTCCTCCCACCCTCTCCTTGTGCATGTAGACTTCTACTTGGGCGGCCCAATTATGTGAGATAAGTTCCCCTACCCTTTCTATCTCCTTTTCTCTACCCTGTCCCATTTTCCCACACTGTCTTGGCATGACAAGGTGGGTATGACAAGGATGAATGACTAGCCAAGGAGACTAAGGAATGACCAGTCAGGAAGTGAATCAAAAGAGTTATGGAAACCCAAGAGAGGAAAGAGTCGCCAGGAGAAGGTAATGTTGTTCAGGTGTGTCTGACACTTCCTGACCCCATTTGGAGTTTTCTTGGCAGAAATACTGAAGTAATTTGCCATTTCCTTCTCCAGCTCATCTTACAGATGAGGAAACCAAGGCAAACAGGATGAAGTGACTTGCCCAGGGTTACATAGCTGGTGTCTGAAGTCATCTTTAAATTCAGGTCTTCCTGACTCTAGGCCCACTCTTCTATCCACTGGGCCACCTAGCTGCCCCAGAGAAGGTCACAGACAGGGTCAGAGGCTGCAGAGAGATCCGGAAGGATGAGGACTGAAAAAAGGCCATTTGATTTGACAATAGTCGTTACCTCTATAGAGAATGGTTTCCCTTAAGTGATGAGGTCAGAAGCCCACGAGAGTGTAGAAGTGACAGGAAGTGCAGGCATAGATTACAGACCTTGCTTTTGGAGAGCTTGATGGAGAAGGGAAGAAGAGATAAAGGACCAGGGGTAGCATGGACAGTTGGGTTGAGTAAGGGTCTTGGAGGATAGGGGAGACCCAAGTGTAACTGTAAGCAGCAGGGAAGAGGCCACCTCTATTTTGGTTGCTATTTATGTTAACCACCTAATGCCATCTAGCTGTTTGAACGAGAGGGGGCAACATAATAGCCCATTCCTTCCCTACCTGGTTCCAGTCAATACAGGAATGTTCTTCCAGTGAAATCAATCAAGAACGAGGTGTAGAGGAAAAAAAAGAAATCCATTAGCCTGATTGGGATATCAACAGAAAAAGAAAAATTGCTATTATTCTATACCACTCTCTTTGTTCTTGGCAGCCCAGCAATCACTGATGGTGTAGAATTGTGGGACAGAGGAGAGATGTGGACTGGATTCGGAGAGATGGCGCTGTGTTCATCCGGGGCGTCAGCCTTTCCTCATTCCAAATGGATTCCCTCCACCAGCACACAGGAGGTTGTAGCATGGATTTAGTCCATCCGCAAGTCCTGGCAAGATAGCCAGTGACAGAGAAAACTGCGTACTTCCCACTGCCCTCCCAGCTGCCTGATACCTGTGATTCTACTTTTTCTATTACTTGTTGGCCTGCAACCAGAGTGATCACCTTTACCTGTCCCCTCTCCACTTCCACAAAGAACCAGCCTCTTAGCTTTGTTCACACCCTTCCTTTGCCACAAGTTGAGTAGAGATGAACATAGATCTGTCTGCCAGAAGATGGATCAAAGAACATGAACAGGTATTCCTCAGAAGAAATGAATATTTGATAATCCTTTTAAAAACTGCCCAGACTCTAGTTCCCAGAGAACTGCAAATTGAAACAAATCGAAGGCACCATTAAATTAGACAAGATGGTGAGAAAATGAGACATCCTCTTAGGTATGTTGGTGGAACTCTGCAGACTTGCCATGCTACACAGCTGTGGAGAGAGCTATGAATGAGCACCATCCTTTGGGAAAGTCAGTGGGAATCTACAGCCAGGGCCACAAAATGTTGCAGACCTTCTAACCTCGTGGTGTCAACACCGAGATAGGACAGGAAAGCTGTCATTTACAGGAAGTACAGTTATCCCTTCCACATAATGGGGTTTAGGGGCATGGCCCTCTGATCTACAAAATCCTCATAAAAGTTTCTTGGCCCTCCCTTTGTACCAGCGAAGTCTGGATTTTTTCTTTTTTGGGGGGTGTTTATAGTACCTTATTGTAAAATTTGAGTTGATATTATATAAAACTATACATATATTTTATATGTCTGAGTTTCTAAACTTTTTCTGCTGGCCTGTGCGTCTCTGTGGCTTCCATAAAACTCCCCCAAAATTCTCATTTAATTTCTTAGGCCTACCTGTGATATGTCAAAACCATGATGGGGAAAGTCTCGATGTGGAAGGGAAAACTGTTAAGATTTCTCGCCATAACAATACCCAGAGCCCCATTGGGGGGTAATGATAAAATGCATGTATCATGGCTGAATTAGTCCTAAGACATAAATGATTACTGAGATGTGGAGGCCGCATGGATTTACAGTCAGAAGATATGGGTTGGAATCCCATCTTCGTTTTTTACCTGTGTAATCTTGGGCAGGTCATTTAATTTATCCAGTCCTCTATTTTCTCATGGAAAAATGAAGGAGATGATTCCTAAGGTCCTTTCCAGATATAAATCTTTCTCAGTTGTCATTTAAATAACAAAAGTAAATGTGAAAAGACTTATATGAAGTTACATTGAGTGAAATAAGCATCAGAAGGGATATCCTTAATCTTAGGGCCTTCCCTCTGTTGGATTGCCAGCAATTGATCCCGTCAGTAGCTTGTCTTTACAGAGTTGTCTGCACGTAGTTTCCCTCATTGCACAATGAGCTTCTAGGGCAGGGGCTGGTTTTTTCATTTCTTTATATCCTCAGAATGCAGCACAGTGCCTGGCACATAGTAGGCACCTAATAAATTCTTATTTGAATCCACCAGTAACATAATTCTAAAAAACATACAAAAGAGAAAGAGCAGATGGGCTGTTGAAACCAACAGGTGCCATTATGAAAAGATGCTCAGTTGTGGAAGGGAAATGACTTTTTTCTTTTAAATTGAAGTGAATATAAAGGTCAAAATAGAATTGCATAATTACATTAAATGAAAATGTCAACAAAAAAGAAAAGCTAATATAGGGGAAATCATGATGTGTGCTTGACAGATAAAAATGAGACATCAAATACCCATAAAGTGAATAATTGAAAAACAGATTGCATTGGGGTGAGCATTTTCCTCATCAAGCCAGATTGTAACCATCTATAACTGACAGTCTCACAGAGTGGATTGGGGCTCAGAGTTGAGTGGCTTGCCAATAATCATAGAGCAATTAAGTGTCAGAAGCAGAATGACGGAATTACTGAGTCAAAAGGCATGATGACTTGTAACTTTTAGTACGCCCTGCAGAGTGCTCTCCAAAAAGCTCCTCAAAGTTTGCAAGTCTACCAGCAATGAATGAGTGTGCTTCTTTCTCAACACCCTTGAGAGCAATGATTGGTTGCTTTTAATTATTTTTGCCAATTTGATGGGTGTAAGGTGACATATATTTTTGATTAACAATGAAGCTGAACACTAGTAATGATTTTTCAGTTATTAATAACTTAATATTATTATTAATGATTGAGATATGTGAAGAACACTTTATAGACCCTGCTTTAATGTTAGCTACTGTTGTTTTAATTTTCTTTTTTTGAAAATTGTAGAAGTAGAATCTAAAGCATTGTTAAATATATAAGGAAATGGTAAAAATGTATAGCTAAAGCCCAGACCACAATGATCAAAGGATATCAACAAATTTCAAAAGTCAATTTAAAAACTGCTCAAACTTCACCATTAATCAGAGAGAGATGTGAAATAAAAGAATTCAGGCGTTACTTGATACCCTAACCAACTGGCAAAGATATTAAAAAGCAACCAAACACAATTTGTTCAACAGTGTTGAGAAATGGTCACACTCATTCATTGTTGGTAGACTTGCAAACTTCTAGGACCTTTGTGGAAAGTAGTCACTAGTGTGCACTAATAGTTACAAAACCATCCGAGCCCTTTGACTCAATAATTCCATCATATATCCTAAGACTTTGGATGTATATTCTTTCCTCCCAATCCTCTTTCAACTATACCATGTTCTCTAACTCTCAATTTCCTCATTATGAAATGGAGATAAAGATAATACTCAGCTCCTCAGGTTACTGTGAGGCTCAAATGAGCTAATGCATATAAAATGCTTTATGATTATTAAAGGGCTATCTAAACCCCAGCTATTATGATTTACTTTGTTTATGTATTTAGATCTTCGTTCTTGTCCCTGGAGGGTAAAGATTAAACGGATTCATTTTATAAAGAAAACCCAATTCAAATACCAAAAAAAAATTCTAAAAGAAAAAAATTTATCCTATGAGTGTTTCAAAAAAAAACAAAAGAGTTCTTTATACAAAAATATTAATAGCAGCATTATTTCTTATTGGAAAAAGCTGGAAGAAACCAAAATGTACAAGAAAGGCGTGGCTCCATTGTGGTGCATTCCTGTCCTGGAGTACTACAATCTGACTAGATGGGCTAAGGGTGACGACTACAAAGAAATCCAGAAACGCCTCTATAAAAAGTGCAAAGTTGAGCAAAATCAAGCCAGGAGAAGAGAGGCAAAGCATACACGAGGGGCTAACAATGGTATAACAAGAAAACTAAGCGGCAAAAAAGGGGCAAAGAGACCTGGGAGAGACTCGGAAAGGGATGGAAATTGAGGCATGATATCTTATGGATTCAAATGAGCGTTTGCCGTGTCAATCGCAGCAAGGTGGGTTTCCTAAACTGTACCATACAGAACACGGCCTTGATAGTGAATGATGAGAGAATGAATGGCCAGCAGAAGATGGGCTGCTGAGGACAAAGTCGCAAACAGAGCTCCCGTTCTCCGGTACTGAAGTCACCCTTTATTCTGAGGCTAGATGACCTAAGAGTGAAGGGACGGGACAAAATAATGAGAGGTCCGGGCAGGACCTCACGCCAGCAGCCTCAGCAGTCTTCACCGGCCCAGGCAGCTCTGGGGAGATCTCCCTCTGAATGACCAGCACGTGCGCTGCTTGTCCTGACTTTCCCTCCCTTCCCCGCACAGCTGGCACCCAAGGGCCTGCCCCTCGCTGCAGCTGGCAAATCTCATCTGGTTTAGAAGCGGCCGGTCCTAGTCACTGGAAATGGGAAGATGCTGGCTTCGGAGAAACCTCAGAAATCTGTTCTAGTCTCTTTTCTCTCAGGAGACAAGTGGGCAAGGTGGAAAGGCCTGAGCAGGGCACAGAGGAGCCTGGGGCAGGCGTTCTAGGGAAGCGAGGGGAAACAGGATCAGATTTGGACTCAGACAGAAAATGCTCGGGAACCTTTCATGTCTTCAGATGTTGGCTTGGGGGAGAATCCTTGACCTGAGGGAATGGAGTTGGGGGGACACAATCACAGGAGCCACACAATCAAATGGGCAGTCTTTAGCCATACAAAGCAATGTTGGTCCCCGTCAGCTGACCACCACAGGATTCTCAGTCTCTTCTATTCACTTTTCTTACAACAGCCACCCTAGCGACACGAAGACACCCATGCTGCTATGAACATTTTTGTATAAAGAACTCTTTTGTTTGTTTTTTTGAAACACTCATAGGATATATTTTTTTCTTTTAGAATTTTTTTTTTTTTGGTATTTGAATTGGGTTTTCTTTATAAAATGAATCCGTTTAATCTTTACCCTCCAGGGACAAGAACAAAGATCTAAATACATAAACAAGGTAAATAGCATTTAGGAAGAAGCGTCCCATGGGCAGGTTTGGAGGGCCGGGGGAGCTATCCTGACCTAGCCACGCCAGGTTCCCAAGGTTCTCCAGCATCATGTCACAGTACAGCTCCCCCTGAGAAGGGTCCTGGTGCCCCCACTCCTCTGGGGTGAAGGCCACAGTCACATTCTTTAAAGCCATCGATCCCTGAAGCAACAGACATTTAAGGACATTCAAAAACCAACTTCCATTGGAAGTGAGGTGACCAGGCACTGTAGTAAGTGGCTCTTAAAACCCTGAAGACTAAAGGTGTCATATGGCTAATGCGTTTTGGGATCCCAAAGCCCTTTCCTCATCACCCCCATGAGGAGATCCTGGAAGCACTCATTAGTCTAATTGGAGGGGGTTGGGGAGAGATGGAGACCAGCCTGTGGCTTTGCATTTCCAAATCCAAGCAACATCCTATGAAGGAGAGGGCAGCACCAGCTCACCCTAAGTTTTCCCTGGCCTCAGACCTTGACACAGAGTCCATAAGCCACAAAGCAGTGACAACTGGCTTCCCCTTTGGAGATCTGAGAGACCTTTTGGGGCTTGGGGGGGTGGACATGGGAACAAGTCTGAAAGACGAGTGAGCAGAATGGTTAGTTAACCCAGGCCCTGCTTGGAAGGGAGGGAGGAGGGCTGGTGTCTTCCAAGATGGAGCTCATTTTCCAGGAGAAGAATGGATTTTTAAAAAGCAGCAATCCAGGGAGGTGTTTCAGCATCCCCGGCCAGGGGAGCCCCAATTTCACCTTCTCCAGGAGCATGGAACCAGGAGACCCCAGCCTAGGCCATGGTGGAGAATGTGGCAACAGCTACCCCTGGCTAAAATCACACCAATCCAACAAAAATCACTGATCCCACAACGACAAAGAAAATCTCTACCAGTCCTGGTTGGGCTGAGACCCAAAGGAATGTGTGGCTGGAACTCAGGGTTGGATGTTTCAGACCCCAAGCCCCAAGTACCCAGGAAATCATGTGCATTCATGATCAGACAGCTTGGTTCTGGCCGAGCTTCCAGCTTCTCCTCCATCCCTGATAGGGCGGGGGAGCTAATCCATTCATGAGGCAACAGCATCCTAGAAATAACAAGGCAGAGAACTGGGGACTGGAGTCAGGAAAACCCGAGTTCATATTGGACTTCATCTGTAAAATGGGGATAATTACAGCACCTCCCTCTTGGGATTGTTTTGGGGCTAAAATAAGAATATTTGTCAAGACCTAGACACATATACATGCTGGCAAGTATTAGAAACAAAAGGACAGCTTGCAAAATGAGATGTAAAATGGCTTTTCTCAGGGACACCAGCCACAAAAACAAAGCAGACAGAATTGTCAGAAAGAAAAAAAAAAGGGAAAAAGCAAAAAACTGACCTGTACCATCCTTAAATATCTTACATGGGCACCTAGGTATAAAAAACCAGAATGAGCCATAGTCACAGTCACATAAGTTAAAACATTTTACTTGTTTAAAGAGGAGAAACTGAGTCAAATTGCTTTGAGAACTGCTCCCATTCTCTATGGCAGACCTTTACATGTTTATTGCTTTAAAGAGAGAACGGATTCAGCAATACTGGAAACATGTTCCAGATGTGGTAACATTCTTATGTTTCTAATTTGCATTCTAATTCTGCAGGATCGATGGTTTACATTCTAAAAGTTGGGCCTCATAAGCATCCCTTTGATTTCACAAAAATGTGTTCGTCCTATCAGTTCTAATCATCCAAGTTTCTCCCAGATGGAGGCCATCTCGTTCCTCCTCTTCAGTCCCTCCTTTTGTCCAAGACGAGAATCTCTCATCACAGAATGAACATTGTGAGCTTACTTTGCCTGAAAGATAGGGAGGAGGGAGGCTTAGAATCGGAGCACATGGCCTGTAAAGCTTAAAGAGAATATAACACAAGGAATATGACCAAAATGGTTGTGACCATCTGGAGTGAGTTTAGGACTCAAGCGGACATAAGAAGGGATGAGGGACAAAAGCCAGTCAGCGCCATCTGTCCAGACTTGACTGGCTTTTTAGATGAGGCATACTTTTTGTAGGTGTGAATAACTTTAGGCATTTGAAACCTAATAATAAATATGTAATTATTCTTATTTCCTCTTATGGAATCATTTCAAAGTTCTCCAGTTTGTACAGAATTAAAATTAAATAGATTCTCCATTTAGTCTAGCTCATCAAAAATTATTTGTAAACAGACATATATATATACATATATGCATACATACATACATACATAGAAATCTAATATTCACATTTATATATACAGTGACACCTGGAAAATGAAATATCCCAGTATAAAAATTAATGCTGTTTTGAAAATCTTCTTGCTTTTCCTTGCTCAGCAAGGGAATGTGAACTGGTTAGGATTATTTCCAAGTAGACTGAAAAAGACTGATACAGAAAGTATTCATTTTGCAAAAGGCTGTTGTAAAAGTCAAGATTTTATACTATTTTGTAACACTGTTTTATTAAGAATAACATTTATTTCTAAAATAGAGATATAAAGAAGAGAGAGTGCTTGCTTCGGCAGCATATGTACTAAAACTGGAATGATGCAAAGATTAGCATGGCCGTTGCGCAAGAATGACACACAAATTCATGAAACATTCCATATTTTTCAGGCAAAGGGATACAAAAATCCTTCCTGCCCTACAGTAAAATAGGAGGGGAAGGGGATGGGAGTGGTGATAGAGGGGAGGGCAGATTGGGGGAAGGGCCATTCAGAATGCACATCATCTGGGGATGGGGGAAGGGGAGAGACGGGGAGAAAATCTGGAACTCAAAATCTTGTGGAAGTGAATGTTGAAAACTAAAAATAAATTAATAAAAAATAAAATATATGCCTTTTAAAAAATAAAGAACATCCCATTTGAGATCCTAAAAAGAAAAGAGAGAACTGTGAATTCAGTATATGAGGTAGTGTGTAAACAAATGCAACGTCCTAAGACACCCTTAAATAAACCTTATACCGCCTACAAAAGAGTTTCTAAGTGAGTCAGTGTGTTTTTGGTGGGTGCAGGGAAGGGGGAGGGGTAAATTCCAATTCCCTAATTAGTCACACACACACACACACACACACACACACACACACATTCTTATGGCTTCTGTCAGGTTTTGGGGGGGAGGGGTTAAATTTCAGTGTGAGAAGTGGTTCTGAACGCAGATATCAAATTTCAAGCTGTAAAACTTCATTTAACCATAAAGCAGTCCAAAGAGACAGACACAGAGAGACAGAGATACAAAGCGACTGAGAGAGGCAGAAAGAGACACAGAGGTAGAGACAGAAAGACAGACAGAGGGATGGAGAGAAGCAGAGATGTGCAAAGACAGAGACAGAGAAGGAAGGAGGCAGGAAGACCTGGGTGTATTTTTATAACAATTCCCCAGCATCTCTACTTTTAACAATCGTAAGCAGATGCAGCCAGGTGACACAGCAGATAGAGCCCTGGGCCTGGAGTCAGGGATTCAAATCCAACCTCAGATACTCAGATAACTGTGGGACATTGGGCAAACTGTTTAACCTTGAATCCTCAGTTTCATCATCTGTAAAGTGGAGGATATCACCTACCTCTCAGGGTTGTTGTGAGGATCAAGTAAAGTAATATTTGTAAAGCACTTAGCACAGAATAGGCACTGTACAAATACTAGTTATCATTGTTATTAGGACTATTATTAATACCCCACCAAAAACCCCACCAGTATTTCAACCTGAAAACTCAAAACTCATTCCAATCTTAGTTTGGAATTCCTCATTAAAAGATCGTATCTGAATGACAAAGATAGCTTTCTTTAACTCCCACTGCCATAGGCTTCTGCCAATATGTAGATGTGTGCACATGGGAGAGGAATTTCAGTCCTCCTCTCTCTCTCTGGATTCTTAATCGACCAGAATTAAGAATGCAGTTGTTGTTCAGTCGTGTTCAAGTCTTTGTGACCCCACTTGAGGTTTTCTTGGCAGAGATACTGAAGGGGTTTTGCCATTTCCTTCTCTAGTTCATTTTACAGAAGAGGAAACTGAGGCAAACAGGGTGAAGTGACTTGCCCAGGGTCTTCCTGACTCCAAGCCTGGTGCTCTATCCGCTATACCACCTAGCTGTCCCTATGAATGCAGAGATAAGACTAAATCCTTTCAAAGCTTTTGAAATTTCCAGCTTCCAAATTCTCCTTTTTATTCTTACCCTTTTTCCTCTGGCTGCCCAAACCCCAGAATGCGTGAATTCCACCCAGACGACCAGGACACACAAAACAAACACTGAGGACAGCACTTACTTGGGGTACATGACAGTTTGAGTTTCTCCCACGGTGGAAGGGGTGAAAATAGTATTTGAGAGGTTTAGGAAAATCTCTTCCTTTAGCATCATGTACCATTTCCAGAAGGGCCGAGCAGGCTGGCTGCTAGTACTTCTCATTTAGACAAACCAGAACAAAGCACTTCAACCCAGGTGACAGTCCAGGGCCTTAAGGCCACACGTGGATCCTTTCCGATTCAGTCAAAGGGCTGCACTTGAGGACCTAGAGGGCAGAGCTGGTGAGAAATGGAGAGAGATCTCTTTGGCCTCTTCACTCGAAGCGGCCTCATTTGGGGTTTTCAAGTCCCTTTCACCTCTTTAGTCTTTCTGGGTTCTCCTCGTTTCCAGCTTCAAGAGAGAAGATACACAATACTACATTCTCTTTAGACCATGGGGAAAAAAAAAGACTGGGAAAAAGTTGACATGAGAGGAGCCGGCAGTCTCTCTCACATCCCTATCCTCAGCTTACTACACTAGAGATTTCAGGCAGCCTTTTTGAGTGAGAACTAGTACTCTTGGTTGAGCTGTTACCTCACTCCCAATGGGAGAGCTTCTTTACTCTGTATTGTCTGGTTATTATATTATGTATAATATAATATGGTTAATATATAAATATAATATAATAACCACATATATTATATGTATAATATTACACAATATTATTATGGTTATAATGTGTAATATTATTATGGTTATGCTATATTATTGTTGTTATTATATCTAATGTAACATTATTATGGTTATTATATTATGATTGGTTTTACCATTGACTTGTCTGCTATAGAGAGTAAGTATCAACTTCTGACCAAGATGGTCAGAATGGGAGGGAGACATCCCAACTCCTCCATACCTTGTCCAACAAGACTCTGGCATTTGCACCTCGACCAAGTAATGATCAAGCAATCCAGTGAGAAACTACCGGGATTCCTTCCAACCTAGAACAGCACAAATGACCCAGAATCCCACAGGCATTAGAAAAAGGTCTCCTTCCAGAAAAGCCAGTGCCGGTGCCTTCCAACATAGCCAGAGATGGCAAGGGCCATCCACTGCCTGCAAGGCTCTGTGTCTGGAAGCAGCAGGAGCAGAGGGCTCCCCTGAGAAAGCTCGGGGTGGTCAAACAGCCCCAGAGTGAGATGCTTGGAAGCTTCCAGGAGGTGCAGCGTACAGTATGGAGGCAGCAGGGGTCAGATTGGGGCACTCTAGGCACCAGTGTCTCCAAAGTCTCTAGCCACCTGTCCTTAGACAGAGATCCGGCATTCTGAATCTGAAAGATCTGGGGGTGGAGAATCCTAACCCTGGGGGGTGAGAGAATCAGCATAAGAACCCAGGGTCCCAGGGTGGGTCGAGCAGGGTCCATCATTCCACCCAAGAGCAAAGCAGGGAGTAGAGCCTGGTCCTAGCAAAAAGCCCAATTCAGGAACTAAGGCTGAAGAGACAAAGGAAACATTCTCCAGTACAACAATCTAGAGATCCTCAAAAAGACAGAATAAGTAAAACTCACAAGCAGGGACTTCAAGGGGAAAATGGATATTCCACAAGGTCAAGAGTCTTAGAAAAAGTGACCAAGAGATAAAAGGAATAAGTAAGGCAGAAGAGAAAGCAATGAACTTTGCCTTGAGAAACAATCCCTGAAAACTACAAGTGATAAGGCAGATGCCAATGACTTCATGAGACAGCAAGAAATGTTAGAGCAAAATCAAAGGACTGAAAAAAACTGAAGAAAATGTAAGTTATCTGATATCCAAACAACTCACCTAGAAAACGGATGAAGGAGAGATCACTGAAAATGATTAAACCAACAAATGCCTGGATACTATCATTTCAAGAGATCTTAAATGAAAACTCCAGATCATCAGAATCAGAGGAAAAAATAAAAGTTAGGAAGAATCCATGTATCCCTTCCTGAAAGGATTCCCAAAAGGAAAAGTCCCAGGAATCTTCTAAACAAAACCCAGAACTCCCATACCAAAGGTAAAGCACTGCAGGTCCCCAGAAAACAGTTCATGTGCCAAGGGATTACCGGCAGAAGCACATTTTAAAAAGCTGCCAGCTTCTACTAGAGATCTTGGAAGACAAAATTTCAAAAGGCAAAAAAAGATATGTTTACAAGTAAGAATGAATTTCCTTCCAAAATGAATATGATCCTCTAGGGGGAAAAAATAAGTGGGCCTTTAACTGAAAGACTTCCAAGCATTCCTGATGCAAAAACCAAAGCTGAGCAGGAATTCTGAAATACAAAGACAGGCATCCAGAGAAACCTAGAAAGGTAAATTTATTTGAGCAGTTGGAAGGAGCTGTACAAAGTGATGCTGAAATTCTAATAGGGAGGAGAAGAAACCACTGGCTCTTCATGACTTCAAAGCACGCTGAAGGAAACAAGAAAAACTGGTCCTGGGGGTGAATTGGTTCTGTTCTGAGGGCCTTGGGAAGTGCACAGATTGTAATGAAAGGTCACAAATAACAGCAAGCACTTTGTACTTTATGGTTTGAATCTTACTTCATCCTCACAACATCCTTGTGAGGTGCTATTATCTCCATTTTACAGATGAGGAAACCGAGGCAAACAGGTTAAGTAACTTGGCCAAGTTCATACAGCTAATAAGTGTCTGAGGCTGGATTTGAACTCAAGGCTTCCTGACTCCAGGGCCAGCACTCTTTTCCCTGCACCACCAGCTGCCTTAGAGCTGAGAGGTACCTTAGAACCTTCAAACCCCCTTTTTTTTTCAAAGGAAACTGAAACCACTAGAAAGCTAGGGACTTCCAGACAGTAAATGACAGGAGCATCACTTGAACCTTTGTCCAAAGACTCCTCTCCTAAAGCTCTTGCCCCTACCCTGAAGGGAAAGGGAGCGGGCAAGGAGAGCTGTGTGCCTGGTTGGGGCAAAAGTCTTCCACTCCCACCCATCAGTAATATCATCCAGCGAAAAAGTCAGCTCTCAGAGGGGGCAAGGCTGGCATCTAAAGGAGAGAGTGTTTAGGTAGAAGTGCCGGCTGAATCCCTCTGGGAAGGAATGGCAGGCTGTGGATAAGGGACTGCCCACCCCTTCCCAGCAGCCCACCTGACCCTGCTATACGCTCAGCTCTGAGGCACGTCCCTGCAACCCAGAGCCCAAGGTGGGCCAAGGCATCCCTCACAAGGGCAAGACTGTAAGTGACTCATTGCCAGCGCCACTACCCAAGGGGACAAAGGAAGAGGCGCTCACATGGGGGCTGCATAGCACAAGGCAGGCCTACTCCTTTAGTTCAGGTGAGGTTCTTGAACGGAGTTTTTGTTAGACTCATCCTCAGTTGAGAATTCCTGACCTAGCTCTAGAGACAGCTGCTTCAACTCTGAGTTGAGGACATTTAAGGCCAGGCATCACCATCATCAGCCAACTCCAGAGCCGAGTGTGTAGGACCAAATGTTTAGTGGACAACACTGAGTGTCTTTTAAAACCGTATCTCAGCCAGAATCCACACTTGAACCAGTTGTCTTTTAGAGACAGAGCCTGGACATGACCCTGAGAGCCATGGCCTTAGCTGAGGTCACGTCTTTTCTAGCTCCTCATAATTTGCTCCAATAAACAGAACGAGTCACTTAATTTTCAGGACACTCTGGGAGACTCATTTTCCTAAGCCATTCCATCTTGCTTTGGCCACTCTTTCTAAAAATTCCTCTTTCCAGCTGGCTGAGAGAGAACTAAAGAGAGACTTCAAGGCCTTATTCCTTCTCTTAGTCTGATCATTACCCTAACCAGGTCCAAGGAAGGAGAGAGAGAGAGAGAGAGAGAGTGCAGCTTCTAAATGGAGGAAAGAAGCACCCTTCACCTATGTCCCAACTTTACTGAACAGGGCAACAGTGAACCTTCCTGAACTTTCAGCCAGTAGACCTCAAAAAATGATTCACAAAGGGCACTGTTCCAGAAAGACTGAGGAAGTTTCTCATTCAGATTAGTCCAAAAGCTTTAGGCTAGGAGGATGTGGAGAAAAATGCCTTCTTAATATTTTCAAAAGGGGAGCAGGGCCGTTTACTTCCACTGAGGCAAATGCTGTATGCTAAATGCTGAGGAGACAAATACAAAAAAAGAGGCAGTCCCTGCCTTCAAGGAGCTTCTATTTCCACAAGTGGTAAACGTGAGAATGGTGGGTGGGGACAAAGTTTTGGTTTGAGAAGTCAAAGGGACGGTGAAAAGATGGAGTCACAGGAGAGCTGAAGAATAAGCTTGTTCCACTAGCAAAGGTGATGTTGAAAGTGTTCTGTGGCTGGGAAAGATCCCACAGCAGTAACAAAGGCCTGGATAAAGGTAGTATTGTTGGGAGGGCAATAAGGTTATCAGGAAATGGGTTTAGTATACCAAAATAAAATGCATTTATAAAACATTTTTTAAAATGAAGCTAAATATCTTTAAAACTAAAACAACCTAGTGATATTTTAAAAAATACAGTGAAGGTGATCCAGTTGCTTGCTATACAAAGCATCAAGCCCCTTTCCCACCCTCCCACACCTGGTTTGAAATTATTCTTGAAAGTCTTTAAGTTTTCAATGACCATAAAAGTACCAAATGTAATTCCCAAGGAAGGTGTATGTAGTATAAGAGAACAGAAGAGAGCCTTAGAGAACATCTACCTTAATGCCTTGGGAAAAAAAAGTAGCCAGTAAAAGAGCAGGCAAAAATGAGAAACAAGTAATTTTGTTTCCTGAAGAGAAAGTAACCAGGAGGAGACAGTCAAATGGGTCAAATTCTGTGTCAAAGAAAGGGAGAAAAAGAATGAGGACAGAAAAGACTATAACATTTGGTAGTTCACAGGATCATAGATTGTGAGTTTGGAAGGGACCTCAAGTCCAAGGAGAGTGGTTAGGTTGGGACAGAAAGAACTAGCTTACAATGAGATGGGTAGATGGTAAGAAACCATAAATGGATGTAAGCACTTTTTTATTTCCCCAGCAAGTTTGGGGTAGTGAAGGTAGAAGAAAAATCAGGTGGTTGGTGGATGGAGATAGCAAGTAAGGGGCAGAGATTTGGGGTGGAGGTATTAAAACTATATATGGGGGGGGCTGCTAGGTGGCGCAGTGGATAGAGCACTGACCCTGGATTCAGAAGGACCTGAGTTCAAATCTGACCTCAGACACATAACACTTACTAGCTGTGTGACCCTGGGCAAGTCACTTAACCCCACTGCCTGGGGGGGGGGGAGACTATATATGAATATAGTAAGGAGTTAATAGAAAGGAATAAAATGAAGATGCATCAGAGAATGAATACTCTAACGAATGAGAATGATCAAATAGGGTTCTAGAGTAGGTCATACTGCATGAGATTAAAGGCACAGGCATAGGTTAAGCTTTAGCAATGAGCAGGGATAACTCTGTTGCTCTCTGTAAGGAAGAGGGAAGTGCTGGTGATGATTTTGCAAATTTTGGAGGAGTAAAGTTTAGGGAACCAACTATTGCCAGATTGCCACCATGTTCTCAATGAAAAAAGTTATCAGCTATAAACTTGAATACTAAGAGAGGGAGTTACTTAGAAGCCTGAGGAAAGATGAAAAGGTTTGGACCGTCCCATATGAGAAACGAGGCTGACTTAATTTACAAAAATTCTTTTTAGTTTAAATACTAAAATTTTCAAGAAGAGTATGTACTCTGAAATCCTTTTGATGTACATTTTCTTCATAATACTTTATATTATTTAGGTTTCTTTCCAAAATGAATTCTCTGAAGTTGAGAAAGTTCACTGTTCTTGAAGAAAGCTATCCCACAATCCTTACAAATCATTACATTCATTAAGGTATTTTTTTCCCCCAACAGAAATTGTAGGATGGCGACTCCAGTCTCCTGGCAGGAGGCATTCCCGTACATAATACAGTCAAAAGATTTATATCAAGTATGAATTGACTGATGTCCAGTAACTCTATGCTCCTGTGAAATGCCTTTCCACATTCTTAAGGTTTCTGTCTAGTATGAGTTCTCTGATGTCGAGCAAGTCCTGCCTTCTGATGGAAGGCCTTCCCACACTCATTACATTCATAAAGTTTCTCTCCACCACAAATGCTCTGATGTTCAGTGAGCTGGGTTCTCTGGTGGAAGACTTTCCTACAATCATAAGGTTTCTCTCCAGTATGAGTTCTCTGATGTCGAGTAAGGTTTGTGTTCCACTGGAAGGTCTTCCCACATTCATTACATTCATAAGGTTTCTCTCCAGTGTGAATTCTCTGGTGTTCGATAAGCACTGTACTCCATCGAAAGGCTTTTCCACATTCATTGCATTCATAAGGTTTCTCCCCAGTATGAATTCTTTGATGTCGAGTAAGGTTTGTATTCCACTGAAAGGTCTTTCCACATTCACTACATTCATAAAGTTTTTCTCCAGTATGAGGCCTCTGATGTTCAGTAAGTGCTGACTTCTGGCGGAAGGCCTTCCCACATTCATAAAGTTTCTCTCCAGTGTGAATTCTTTGATGTCGAGTAAGGTTTGTGTTCCAATGGAAACACTTCCCGCACTCATTACATTCATAAGGTTTCTCTCCAGTATGGGTTTTCTGATGTTCTGCAAGCACTGTCCGCCATCGAAAAGACTTTCCACATTCATTACATTCATAAGGTTTCTCTCCTGTATGAGTTCTCTGATGTTCAGTAAGCACTGTTCTCTGTCGGAAGGCTTTCCCACATTCCTTACACACGTAAGGTTTCTCTCCAGTGTGAATCCTTTGATGTCGACTAAGATGTGTGCTCCATCGGAAGCTCTTTCCACATTTATTACATTCATAAGGTTTCTCTCCAGTATGAGTTCTCTGATGTTCAGTAAGCACTGACCTCTTGTGGTAAGCCTTCCCACATTCATTACATACATAAGGTTTCTCACCAGAATGAACTGTCTGATGTTGAGTAAGATGTGACTTCCAACGGAAAGCCTTCCTACATATACTACATTCATAAGGTTTTTCTCCAGGATGAACTCTCTGATGTTGAGTAAGTGTACTATTTAGACAGAAGGCCTTTCCACTTTGAATACATTCATAAGGTTTCTCTGCAATATGAATTTTCTGGTGGTCCCTAAGTCCTGACCTCCAGTGGAAGACCTCGCCACATTCATCACATACAAAGGATTTCTCCCCTGTAAGAATTTTCTGTTTTTGAGTAAGACATTTGTTCTGACAGAAGCCCTTCTCATCTTCATTGCACATACAAGGTTTATCTACAGCATCTATTCTCTGATGGCCAATGAGGCTGGTGTTCTGGAAGAAGGCTTTTCCACAATCATTGGGTACGTGATCTTTCTCCTCTGTATTCTGTTTCCTCTTACACTTGGCCCCATATTCCCAGTTTTGTCCCATTCTGGAGAAACAGGGAACATCACTTATGTCACTTGTATTCTGGGGTGATTCTTCCGTAAAATTGCCCAACTCGGAGGGTGACTCCTTGGTTTCAGGGCTCCTCTTCCAATCTGAAAGAAAGACAAGTAAGTATTTCCTGATACCAATGCATTATACTTAGTCCTATGTTCTAATGTGTTCATAAAGAAAATAACTCAAATGTCAAAATACACACCAAATAAGAATACTACTCTTGATAATGAGGTTGACACACACATTGCCAGAGCTAGTTCAGTGTCTGGGAGGCTCTGAAGGAAAGTGTGAGACAGAAGAGGTATCAGACCAAACTGGAAGATCTACAGAGCTGTTGTGCTGACCTCACTGTTGTATGTCTGTGAAACCTGGGAAGTATACCAGTGCCAGGCCAGGAAACTGAGTCACTTCCATTTGAATTGTCTTAGGAAGATTCTGAAGATCACCTGGCAGGATAAGATACCAGACACTGAGGTCCTTTCTTGAACTAAACTGCCAAGCATTCATACCCTACTTCAGAGAGCGCAACTCCAACTGGCTGGCCACGTCATTCGAATGCCAAACATGGGCTTGCCTAAAAGACCATTTTATGGAGAACTCACACAGGGCAGGCGCTCACACGGTGGTCAGAAGAAGCGAAACAAGGACACTCTCAAGGTCTCTCTTAAGAACTTCGGAATCAATTGTGTGACAAGGTAGATACTGGCACAGGACCACCCAGCATGGCGTGCCCTCATCAGAGAAGGTGCTGTGCTCTATGAGCAAAGCAGAACTGAAGGAGCTCAAAAGAAACATGAGATGCGCGCATTTAGAGAATCCACCCCAAATGTTCACATGGAGTATTTGTGCCCAAACTGTGGTAGAGCACTCCAAGCCCATACTGGTCCGAGCAGCTATAGCTGGAAACACTGAAACCTGACTCTAGCACAGTGATGTCATTTTGGTCTTCCTCAAGAAGGACGACAGCAACATTTGGATAGTCATTTCTACTTTACTAAAAGTTTTCCTATTGATCACCTAGCAGGTCACTCAGTCATCACATTTTCTAGAACACATAATACAGAAAAAAGTGATATCCTGACTTCTTCAAGAACAAGTTGGGGGCTGGAGTCAGGAGGACCTGGGTTCAAATCCGGCCTCAGACACTTACTAGTTGTGTGACCCAGGGCAAGTCATTTAACTCCAATTGCCTCACCAAAAAAAAAAAAAAGAAAGAAAGAAAGAAAAAAGAACAAGATAAGCCGGACTAAACTCATTTCCTCTTTAACATGGTTATATCTGGTATATCATGGGAATGTCATAAATAGAATTTGCCTAGATTTTGACAAATTCTGTAACGTCAGTAACTAAGATGGCAATACTATCCAAATTAACTTATAGATTAAAAGAATAGATAATTCATGATGGGAATGAAAGGTATATAACAGGATAATGTTTAATAGCTTCAGATGACAAGAGAATAATTATTTAATAACATTAGTAGAAAAAATTAGACAGCATGTATGGGGATAAACTGGATACATCACATCTCGTACTATATAACATGAAAGGTTCCCAGGTGATAAAAAATTAAAATATCAAAAAGAAAAACACATACTAGGAAAACTGGAATAAAATTACATGTGCATCGCAATTATAAAGGAGCAAAATTATTAACGTTCCTAAAAACAAAATAAAAAGAGGTAAAATAGACGCATTTGATTCTGTAAAATTAAAGGGCTATTGCACAACAAGAAATAAAGGAACTGAATACAAAGGAAAGGAAAAAAAAACTAAGGATAAATCTTAACAATAATTACTTCTGCACAAAATCTGATATTCAAAATCCATAAGAACTTGTTAGAATCTTAAAAATTTATCTGCCAAAAGAAGAAATGATCCAAAGTACACATACTTCTCAGAAACACAGATGATGACCAATAACTGCACAGAAACTGTTCAAATTCTCCAATAATCAGAGAAACATGAATGAAAACAACAGAGGCTTCCCTGTCCCCCATTCAGTTAGCAAAATAAATTTTAAAGAAAATAAAGGACAAAATTAAATGTTGATGGAGCTTCATAGAGACAGAAGTGTTGTAGCACAACCGGTGGAGCTGGGGCTGTGGACAGGCACCATCTTTTAGGGAAGTGTTATGGCAAAAGAGGACAAGAGTGACAAAACTCTTCACACTCAGTGATCCCACTTCCCAAGACCCGGTGCTAAGGACGTTACTGAAAGGAAAAGATGTTTCTCCATAAAAATACTTGTAGAACAAAGTAGCTATAGAGGGAGCATCCCAACAGCAGAGGGGCTAGAACTAGGGTCTGAGTCTAGCCATCTCATCCAAGAATGTGAGGGGGGAAGGCACTCTTGCCCTGGCAAAAAGTCCCAATCCAGAAACTGAGGCCAGAGATAGAAGTAAACAGAAGAAAACTACTTCTAATACAGTGAAGAAGTACTATGAGTTAAAGGCAAGTAGGTGGCACTGCGGAAAGAGCACTGGGCCTGGAGTCAGAAAGACTCATCTTCCTGAGTTCAAATTCAGCCTAGACACTTCCTAGCTGTGTGACCCTGGGCAAGTCACTTAACCCAATTTGCCTCAGTTCCTCATCTATAAAATGAGCTGGAGAAGGAAATGGCAAACCACTCCAGTATCTCTGCCATGAAAACCCCAAATGAGGTCACAAGGAGTCAGACACGACTGAAATGACTGAACAACATTAAACTATGAGAAGCTCACGACTTGTAAACACAGAAAAGAGGAACTCCCTAGTAAGTGCAAGTAGACTCAGAGAAAAAAAATGTCTGAGCCACAAGGATGCCAAGAGGGGTTGGAAGAAACGAAACAAGATAAAAAAGTGAAATTAAGAATGCTGGAGAAAAAAATGAGAGAAGAATAAACAGCTTAGAACAGAGGAAAATATGAGCCAAATATTACACTCCTGGAAAAATGTAATACAGCAAACAGAACTCAATGATTCTGTAAAACAGTAAGAAGTATTAGAACAAAATAAAAAACTGAGAAATTAAAAGTACATGTAGGTACTTAAAATAATTAACCTACAAAGCAGGCTGAGGACAGTACATTTAAGAATCCCTAGACTTCTTAAAAAAAATCATAACCAAACAAAAAAACCAGAAGCCAGATTTTAAGAAAAAAAGAAAACTGTCCAAAACAATTAGAACCAGAGGGCAAAATGAAAACAGAAGAAGTCACTGATCACCTTGAGAAAAGGCCTAAACTGAAAATATTCAACAATGCCATAGGCAAAACGCAGAGCTACCAGGTCAATGAAAAATACTGCCAGCATCCAGAAAGAGTTCAAGTAGCAAGGGACTCACACGGACTATGGTGGAATTGAGACAGAGGAAATGAGATCTTGGAGTACGACAGACCAAAAGGCAAAAGAACAGGCTTACAACCAAGAATGATACTCTGTATACCTATATCCTACCGGGAAGAAAGGGTATACTGTAGAGGAGACTCCTTTTGTCTGTGCGCTGAACTAGAATTAGATGGCTGCTGAGGTCCCTTCCAACTCTCACACTGCTATTGTGACCTTTAATGCAATTGAGAACTTCCAAGCATTCCCGATGAGAAGACCAGAGCAGAAGCCTTGAAAAGCCAATACAAGACACAAGAGACGCCCAGAGAGGATAAACACACCCTTCGGCTGATCTTTCAATGGCATGAGCTTAAACTCTCCACGGTCCTCTGTGGCGTCCTCCGGATAATCTACAACCTGTCAGCCTCCTTCCCGAACTGTGGGGCCTGAAGTGAAGAAAAAATGCCAGCTGCTGCTGGCAGAGTACATGAGGACTATCCCACCTCCCTTGTGCTGTCTAAATTAACAGAGCTTTGGGCTGTACTGGCTTTCATGGCTCCTATGGCTCCTGCCTCCTCTTGAGCTCAGAATCGCCTATAATCTCCAGGTATTTTTCAGAACTACTATCTTGTCAATGATTTTAAAAAATTAAATTTTTTTCCGAAGAAAATTGACCTTTCCCTCCTACCTCCTTGCCATTCTCCCCTCCCCATGTTGAGAAGGAAAAACAAAATCCCTGTTACAAGTATGTAAAGTCAAGCAAAATAAATTACTGCATTGACCATGTCAAAAAAAAAAGTCTCAATTTGCACTCTGAGTCCAATATTTCTCTGTCCGGGGATGGAGAGCATGGGTCCTCATAATTTCTATAGAATCGTGACTGAGGTCTAAGTCTTGCAGGAGTTGTGTCTTTAGAATAATACTGTTATTGTATAAATTGTTCTGGTTCAGCTCATAAAGTTGATTTTTTGAACCCACGTTAAAGACTTTAGGAAGACTAGTTTCCATAAAGACAGAAAGCAATACAGCCCAAAGGGGAGTGGAACACACGAAGGGAAGGGACAGAATAATATCTTCATGTGGGAATCTGTTTTGTTTGACTACAGGTAGTTTTTTACAAGGGTTTTCTTTTTCCTTTTTTAAAAGTAAAGAATGTGGGAAGGAGAGAAAATAAATGTTTATTAAATTGGAAACTAAATTTAAAAAAGAGTAATAATTATAGGGGCTCAAAGAGCACAAAAACGATCAGGGGGTAAGATAACAGACGAAGGGAGTCATGCCCACACAGACTCTGCGTCAGCGTTATGCTGTGACTTCTCTGAGAGTCTCATGGCCAGTCGTAGCTAGCTAACGTAGACGCCAATGTAACATGGGCCAGCCGCAAAAGCTCTGTACCCTCTCAGAACTGCTAGGGACTAGATTCTGAACTAAAGACTTCCTAGTGCTGTCTCTGGAGAAGCCGGCCAAGACTAATATCTCTGCCAGGGCTGAATTAACGCTGAACCTCCCAGATCATGGACGTAGAGGACCCAGCCCAAGAGGATTTCTTCAGAGAGCGGATGGTAATGTCTGGTTAGATCCTGCAATTCAGGATTCGTAGTTCAAAAGATGCCCCTGTGGGTCCATTTAATGCAGTTTTATCGCTAGATTTGGTTTGAAAGATGAGGATCACTACAGCCACTGTCCAGAAAAAAGAAGACGGGGGAGTGAGGCAGACAGGCTCCTATGGAGGATCTGATCCTGCCTGGGGAGATGGAGACGCACTAACGAGAAGGAAGAAGGGGCATGCAACCCAACCTCCTTTCCAGTAGCCTCTCCTACGTCCTCACTCCAGGCACCAGGGTCTGAATCTTTCCAGCCCACAGCACGAACACCAGCCGCAGAGACTTGCTGGGCTTTCCCAAACGACTCCCGAACCCGCTCCCCTGAGCAGTCTGGCGCTCCGGCTGCATCTAAGCTCTGTCCCGCGGGCTAATCACCTTCTCTTCTAAGGGCTGAACCTCACTCTCAAGCTGTCCCGCGGCAGGGATTGCTTTCACGGAAGCTAAAAGCCAAAGCCAGGCAAAGCCGGCACCCCCAGCAACATCTGGTCAGCCAGAGCTCCCCATTCCTCAGGGGAGGACAGACCTTCACTGTGGTTCCAGTTAACAGTAAGGGCAGCAATGGAGACAAAAAGCCTGCTCACTTGCGGATACCTGGGGCACAGGAGGGCCAAGCCCGCCACTGAGAGGTCGTCTTTGGAGCTGCCCTCAACATCCCCTTTCTCTCTTTTATCCCACGTTTGGGAGGGGCCTCTGGCACAAAGGGGGGGCTACATAGCCTGTCTGGAGTCTGTCCCCGCACTCCCGTTGTACAGCCACACCTGGTCCTCTCCACTGTGATCTCCCTGGAGACCAATCAATGCCAGGAACAAGCCTGACAGAAGCTGTAATAACCTTCGATCAGGGGGAGACAGGCGCCACACTTTCGGTGATCTTAAAATGAAAACCCTCCCACTGAACTGTTAGTATGCAACTTTGGGAGACCACAAGTGGCTACACTTAAAAACAACGAACTCTTCACGTGTAAAGTCTGATAATAAATCACATTCGATACAATTTCTTCTGCTTAGGACAGGAACCTTCTTGGCCCCGATAAAGAGTGGAGCGTGCTCATTCCCCTTCCTTGCACAGGCAAGAGATGACAGAGCTAAAGCAAACACTGTCAAGCCATCCTGGAGACAACCTGCTGAACTGATTTTTTTTTCCCCTTTGCTTTTTTTTTTTTAAGGTAATTGGAGTTAAGTGACTTGCCTAGGGTCACACAGCTAGTGTCAAGTGTCTGAGGTCAAATTTGAACTCAGATCCTCCTAACTCCAGGGCCGGAGCTCCATCCACTGTGCCACCTAGCTGTACTGCCCCCCCTTTTGCTTTTTTTATTCTGTGTCATAAGGAATGACTCTGGGTAGGAGAGGAGGGAAGGACGTCCTGGGGAGTGAATGCAGTAAAAACACAAAATATCATTAAAACTGAAAACTACAAAATGAGGGTGGCCCTTGAGTTCCCATGGACAACAAGGAGTAATAATGACAGTGACCACTTTCCTAATGATCCTGGCTCACCCCATCACTTAGCCTCGATGTGCCAAGCAGGAAGACCTCCATCAGGAGCTCCTCCAAACATGAAACAAGGGCTCACAGCAGTCACTGAGGTACCGGCTGGCGGAAACAGGTTCCCGAGACAAAAGAGGGAGAGAAAGAGCCATCCCTGACCAGAGGCACATCTCTCTTTAACCCTGGGTGTGGAAGGAGGCCAGGAAAGTGACTGGTTGGAGGGAAGGACCTACAGTCAGACAGCCTGGCTCTTCTGTGCAGGCCAAGCAGTCTTGGAAGGGAAGGGACAGGAACAGGCATTTACTAAGCACCAACTGTGTGCCAGGCACTGGGCTAAGTACTTTACAAATCTCATGTCATCTGAGATCCCTGGCACTGTTCTGCCCCAAGGGATGGCCCAGCTCAGACACTGCCTGGAATGACTTCTGTGCTGGGTATCTGCCTGCTCACCTGGATGGCTGGTCCTGAGGATGTCTCCCTCCATCTTCCAAGGCACTTCCCCGTGCTCCAGCTGACAGATCACATGTGGTTTGGAAAACTCAAGTCCTGCTCAAGAGAAATGGAAGATTCTCCGGTTCAGAATTCAACCTTTGCCTTTTGTCTCTTGGGGGGAAAAAATGGACCTGCAACGAAGGTCACAGGTTGTCCCAAAGACTCCCAGCAGACATTCTGTACTTGACTCCTGGCAAATGTGGTGCATTAGGTCACAAAACAGATCTGGCCTCAGAGAGAAAAGGAGCTCACTGCAGCCGTTCATGTGTCCAGGACTCTCTACTGGGACCTTTAGGGGAGAACCTTTGACCAGAGGGACCTGAGAACACAACCTTAGGGGAGACACATTCAGACTGCCAGCTTCCAGTACTATAACCAAAGACCTTTCATCTGGTGGTGAGGACTCTACCATTTGATGAAAAGACTAGCAATCTCTGCTGCCGGTGTACCTAACCACGATTACGTAAAACTCCAGCCAGTCGAGAACAGCACTAAGGAAGGAAGGAGCTCTCCCAATGGGCAGACAGATGCTGAGGCCCGGGGGGCTGTCCTTACCCAGGCAGACTAGGTTCCTGTAGTTCTCCAGCATCACATCACGGTATAATTTCTTTTGAGCAGGGTGCAGGCACCCCCACTCCTCCCAGGTGAAGTCCACAGCCACGTCCCTGAATGTCACCAATTCCTGAAATAATAAATGTATGTGTGGGTACCCAGAACCCTTGTAAAGATGTGAGAGGAAAGGTGGAAGTGCCCAGGGATTGGGGGGAGTCCTAGAGTGTCCAGCCTTCAGTGCAGTCCTAGAAAAGTATTTGCTGATCACTTACTGTGTGAACTAGGTTCTGAATCGTGTGCCTCGTCATAACCAAGACTTTCCTCATCACGACCCTGTGAGGCCGGTGGGATTAGCATTCATTATCACAACTTTGTCCACGACAGGCCCTCCTCCCCTTCCCTTCCTTTTCAAGGTGCCAGCCTTGGGGGCTGCCTCCTGGCTCCGCCCGGCAGCCACTCTGGCTCCCACCTCTCACGGCACCAGAACCAGCCGCCACGCCACAAACACTCATTCTAGCAACAAGCCTCATTGATAACCAAATGTTTTTCCTATTTCTTCCTCATTACAAATTTCTCCAGCACCATCTGCCACGCCTGAACTCTCTCCCTTGGCATCACTTTCTCTGGAGGTCCCAGCCACAATCCCCGCTTTGGCAAGAAGCCTCTTCAAGGCTCGACCTCCCCCCAGAACGCCTCTGGGTATCCAGACTCTCTTCTTTGCACAGGTATCTTTGCGATGGCAGAGTGCCATGAGCCCGGAGCTCCTCGGGGCAGGGACTGCTTTGCCCCAGTGCTTGGCACACAGTAGGCACTTAATAAGTGCTGCTGATTACAGCCTGATTCAAACCTGCTTAGAGCAACACCTCGCCTTGCTGACTTCAGACAACACAAGAAGCGTGTGACTAACAAATGTGAAGCAGTGATTCCACGTCTCCTCTGGTCTTGGGTTGGAAGCAGGGGAGGAAAAGGGAAATTAGAAGCCCATTGTCCGTTCTGGCTCCAACCTTTACTCTCTCTGTGGTCCAAGGCATTTCTTCTCTGAAGTCCAGCTTCTAAATCTCCAAATTGGCATCATGTGACTTGTCGCCCACTTTTGTGATTTGTACTGTAAATTTTAGGCGTAATAGAAACATTTGCTATTAACATCACATTTCTTGTGCAACCATCACGATGTCTATTGAGTTAGTGCTGAGCAAACCCCAGACCTGGACCCCCTGACAAATAAAGGAGCAAACACCGGCCTGAGAAGATGGGGACACCGTGTAACTGGGCAAAACCCCCCATGGGGCCCCCATGGCACAGGAAGGCAGAGTTGCCAGAGTTAGGCTCTGAGACCCTGGGTTCAGACACTGGCTCTTCTGTTCCCTATCCGAGTGCCCAAGGACAGAATGCTTTCCCCTCTTGCAGCCAGTGTCCTTTGCTGGAAAACAAGGGGCTCAGATGAGGGGGTCCCTGTAACCCCCATTTCTTAGGTTATGAACTTCAGAATGAGGAGCCTCCCACTCACCTGGGGGGCCCTGGCTGTCAGGAGTACAGGGGCCATTGTCTCTTCCTTAGAGTTCCTACCTCCCAGGGAGGGCCAGGCATCCACGAGAAGAGCTGGGGAAGAAACAGAAACCATGAGGGGGCAGGCTTTGCCTCCCAGCTCCCAGACTCACCCCCATGGCTGAGAGCTTCCATGGGGCCCAAGGACTCCTCCCCAGCACTTAATTCACCCACCATCAAACGTCTACACTGGACATGGTGCAGTGCCAGACATTGGGGACATAAGGACGCCAATGAGTGAGTCCTGGACCTCAGAAGATTTCGACTAAAGGTAAACAGCCCATGTGTCCCCAAGGAGATCATACAAATGGGAAAAGGACCCACATGTACAAAAATATTTATAGCAGCTCTTTCTGTGGTGGCAAAGAATTAGAAATTGAGGTGATGCCCATCAATGGGGGAATGGCTGAACAAGCTGTGGTATATGAATGTGATGGAACACTATTGTGCTATAAGAAATGATGAACAGGATGCCTTCAGAAAAACCTGGAAAGACTTGTATGGACTGATGCTGAGTGAAGTGAGCAGAACCAAGAGAACGTTGTACATAGGAACAGCCACGTTGTGTGATGACTAATGTTGACAGACTTAGCCCCTCTCAGCAATGCAAGGATCTAAGACATCTCCAAATGTTTCATGATGGAAAATGCTATCCACATCTAGAGAAAGAATTATGGAGTCTGAATGCAGATTGAAGCACACTATTTTCTCTCTGTTTTTTTTCTTCTTTCTCGCAGTTCATTCTATTGGTTTTAATTCTTTACAACATGACTAATCTGAAAATGTGTTTAACATGAATGTATATGTAGAGCCTATATCAGAGTGTACGCCGTCTTGGGGAGGGAGGAAGGGAAGGAGGGGGAGAAAATTTAAAACTCAAAAGCATATGGAAGTGATTGTTGAAAATTAAAAATAAATAAATAAGTTAAAAAAAAAAAGGTAAACAACCCAGACGCACATCCCTCAATACAAGGCAGCTCACAGGGGTAACAGGACAGCCTAGGGTCAGTTAGGGGGCAGCTAGGTGGCGCCACAGTATACAGAGTGCTGGGCCTGGAGTCAGGAAGACCTGAGCTCAAATCTGGCCTCAGACTACTAGATGTGTGGCCCCAAGGGACTTAACCCTAAATGCCTCCGTTTCCTCATCTGTAAAGTGAGCTGAAGAAGGAAATGGCAAACCACTTTAGAATCTTTCCCAAGAAAACCCCAAATGGGGTCATAAAGAGTCAGACACGACTGAAAACACTGAACAGGTTAGGAAAGGCATCTGTCTCAGTGGAGGTGAACTCTGGGACAAGGATTCTGAAGGGCAGAGGCAGGCAGATGCAACTGCAAGAAGCAGGAGACGGAGAGTCGACTGAAGGTCACAGGCTGGCCAGAATCGGAGAGTCCTGGAAGGAGGCTGGCAGCAGACCGTGGGGCCTCAAAGGCCGTGCCAAGGGACGTGTGCCCTGGAGCCAGCGTAGGTCTGGCAGGAGAGGGACGGCTGCAGACCAGTGCCCGGGACGGATCATCCTGGCTGCTCTGCCGACGCTGCAGACGCTGTGACAGGGCGGGGGGGAGAAGAAGGAGCAGAGAGGCCGTGGTGGCCGGGGTCCGGGTGTGGACCAGCCTCAGTAAGAGCGGGTATTCACAGGGCCGCAGGCTCCTCCCCTCTGGCAGACCCTGAGGGGCGGCAGGGCAGGGACGCCAGGGACGCCTCAGCACTGTGTTTTTAATGCAGGCAATAAGATACCGAGGATCCCGAAGGAAACAAATTATAACAAAATGGAGAAAACCCAGTTCAGAAACCCCGCCCAAGGTAGGGAAAGAACTCTAGGGGAGTGGCTGTGAGCACTTCCTGCAGAACGCCTCATTTCATCTTTGTGCAACCCTGGGAGGCAGGTGCAGTTATTCCCATTTTACAGATGAAGAAACGGAGGCAGGAAGGGATGGAATGACTTGCCCAGCATGATGAAGCCACTATCAAATCAGCAGCCAGGTGGTGCAGTGGAGAGAGCATCAGGGACAGAGCTGGGAAGACCTGACCTCAAATCCAACCACAGACACTTACTTACTAGTTGTGTGACCCTGGGCCAGTCACTTCACCTCTGCCTCAGTTTGCTTAACTATAAAATGCAAATGATAATAGCACCTACTTCCCAGGGTGGTTGTGAGGATCAAATGAATTAATATTCATAAAACGCTTAGCACAGTGCCTGGCACACAGTAGGTGCTTAATACATATTATTG